GGCCAGGCATGAAAACTTTGTGGCTACAAAGATTAAAGATTTATTCCACTGCCCTCAAGGAACTCACATCTAGTGGAGAAGAGAAAGCAATTACAATCCTATAAAACTCTGTAAAATTCAGGAGAAAAACTCTGTAATCAGCCTGGGGCTTGGTGAAGGCTTCCAAGAAGAGAACACACAGGCTGAATCTTGAAGGACAAGCAGCAGGGTCTGATGAAGGAGGGAGCTGGGTACCAGGCAGAAAAACAACATGTGCAAAGACATAAAGGCAAAAACAAATAAACAAAAAACCCAAACAAACAAAATCTCAATGCAGTCAATAGCAGGCATGAAGGGAAAGTGGTGAGAAAGGAGACTATAAAGAGCATTATACACTCAGCATTTGGGTTTTCCTGGTGTCTATGGGGAATGCATAAAAGATTTAAAGTAGGGCAATGACATGATCAAATTGCATTACATAAAGATCACTCCAGCTGCTGTGAGGACAGACTGGAGGGTATAATGTAGGAGAAATGATGGAATGATCAGGCAAAATTATTTGTCATTACTAAGGCAGGAGGTTGTTTGTGGAGGATTTGAGCTATTTTGGAGGAACTGATGACAGTTGCCAGGTAGCTGGCCTGAGCTCCTGATTGGTGCTGGTGTGGCTCACAGAGACTAGTAGGAGAACAGACGCTGAGTGTGCAACAGGGACTAGAAATCCAATCTGTTTTGAGCATAGTGGGTCTAACAAATCTAAGTCTGTCTACATGTAAATGACCTCCAATAGGTGGTTGGATATTCAGGTCTAGTATTCCAAAGAAAGGTCTGAATTGTAGACAAATATGTCGTTAACACCAAATGAAATCATAGGATGGTTAATAATAATTGCTAACATGCATTGAGTACTTGCTATATATCTGGCACTTTGGAAAGCACTTTTAGTAGATTTTCTCTCTTAATCCCCATAATGACTTCAGGAAGTCAGTATTATGATTATTGCTCAGGGAGAGGCTTTCACATAAGAAAAGGTCCAAAACAGGATCCTGAGGATGATGTTTAAGAGGAATGGCAGGAGACCTCTTTCTACAATATTGCACAGCTATAGCCACAAAGAACAATTTACATTATCAGCCGGATTTATTTATTTAAAAAATATTTTATTTATTTGCCAGAGAGACAGAGAGGGGACACAAACAGGGGGCGCGGCAGGCAGAGGGAGAAGCAGGCTCCCTGCCGAGCAAGGAGCCCAATGCGGGACTCGATCCCAGGACCCTGGAATCACAACCCCAGTCAAAGGCAGACACTTCACCAATGAGCCACCCAGGTGTCCCTACCAGCCAGATTTAAACACAAGAGGCAACATGTCGACCTCCAGTTGGCTGAATTTTCAGCTCCATCCTTTCTCTGCATGACTAGGACAACATCCTAGAGCGGCTGTCTGGACTGGGCAGCCCAATCACATGCACCTAAGTCCCTGCTGAGGGAGATTCCCTCAAACCTGGTACTATGTGGGGTTCTTTTAGCCCCCAGGTCATCAAGGTTCCCAGCAGGAAGGTGAGAGAGGAAAAGACGGTTTCAGTGCAGAGAAACTTCCTATTGCACTCCATACCCAGGGAAAACACATCACAACTGCTCCTTCAAACACTCTGGATTCCAACCAGGCAGCATCAGGCTAGTCAAGGTCAACTTGGGCCAGGCAGGCAGGAGGGAGAATGTGCCCTAGACTTGATTTTCAGTGTGGTAGACAGTTCCCCAAGTAATCTTATCACATCAAGAAGGTGCTCCCCCAAAGCAAGCAAGAACAGCTTTACTGTCTTATTCTTAATGGTGGATAATGTTAGCTCCTCCCTCAACTCACCCCCAACATTGATAATTTGGGAGTTTGTGTGAGGGGAAAGAATCAGTTGAATAAAATTTTGAACACAGCCTTATTCTAACTATTATTTTGCCTCATTATTAAATCTGACTAGGGTATATGTTGGATTCGAGACCGAAAACAAGTTAAAACTAGCTGCTATACTCCTCATTAGAGGAACCCTAACCTTTGTCCCAATGGGCCTTGAGTCTCATGCAACAGAGCTGATAAGCTTAAAGAACCACTGCCTAAGTAAAATGGTACTGACTTCCAGTTCTGCTTTAAATTCACCCTCCTGAACCCAAGACTATTATATTCTGGCTAAGTTATTCCTGGTTTGAATGAGAAAGTGGGGCGGTGAATGTGGATGAATGGGTAGAAGGAAGCATCCTAAAGAACTGATCCATGCTGGAGGAGGTGGTGGGGTGGGGGGGGAGGGGGGGCAGCAGAGCGGGCTAGCTTAGTCAGTAGAGCAGGCAACTCTCGATCTCAGGGTTGTGAGTTCAAGCCCCACGCTGGGTGTAGAGATTGCTTAAAAATGAAAAAAAAATCTTAAAAAAATTTTTTTAAAAAAACCTAATTGATCCACGCTCATCTAAACCTGTCGCAGAGACTGGTGGACCCCCATATTTGCAGTAACTCTCTTCAGGGAGTAGGAACTCTCTTCCTGAGCAGGAAGCTAACTAGGGCTCTCCAGTTGTGCCATGTGGGCATAGGGAAATCAGCTCTCTGGGCTCCAGGATGAAAGGGCAGAAGCATCTCTAAAGCACTTTGCAAGTTTAATATTCACTCAATACTAATACAAGAATAAGAAGGGTTCTAGCGTTGACTCTTTTCCATCTGGTAGGGGTAAGGGGTTCACTGTATGTTGATACATCAGAGAATATAAGAACAGAAATTGGATTTATGAACAGATCACCTAGATTAAAAATATACATGTGTATATATTACCGACATATACACACGTGTGTACATATATACATATATGTATATATATAAAAGAGAGAGAGAAATAGATCCAGCAAAATTGACTGTTGAAGCTATGCAGCAGGTTGATGGCAAAGCCAGGTGTAAAGTCCAGATTTTTGAACTACTTGTCAGGTAACTTGCCCACTGGTCTCTGTGTACAAGTCGTATAAGGCATCAGAACACTGTAAGATGTGATAAGATTCATGTTTAATCAGCTCCATGTGTGATGTATTTCCTTCCCCCACCATCATTAATATTGCATTAGAAAAAGCTGCAAGTTCTGGCGACAGCATGCTGCTTTTTAAATGGGAGCCCCAAGAATTTACCCCTGCTTTTAATACTAACCCTCCATGTAAATTTGCAGAAGGAGAGTATCATTTTTCAGAGGTGCTGATAGGAATCCATTTAATGGGAGAAGCTAAAAGAAAGGAAATTATCCAGCTTGTCCTTCCCTTGAGGGTAATGTGAGGTAGTGAGCCTTGATGGCGCTAGGCATGGGAAAGAGGGCTCTTCCCCAGCTCCACCCCAGCTGTGTGCCCTGAACAAGTAATTACCTTTCTGGGTCTCAGTTCATCTTCAGAGAAATTCAGAAGTTGAACTAGATCACATTAATGACCCCTGACATTCTGAGATTTCTTCTTGAGAAATTCCTGAAGCAAACTGCCCGAGCTTTTAGCCAGCTAGCTGTTCCCTGCCTCTCTCTGCTAAAAAATTTTAAAAACTGGGATAGTGGTCTACATAGTAACAGTAGTAGTAATAATAATAACAGCAGTTAAGAAGAAGAACTTTGCAACTAACTCTTGTTTAGACTTTAGTAAAAAAGTAGTTTGCAGGCTATTGCTTTCACTTAGTACGTTCAACATTCATTCAATAAATATTTAAGTGCCCCCTATTCGAGCACCGTACTAAGGGCCTGGGGATTCAGCCAGTGTAACTTGACCACATTAAGGAAGCACTAACAAGGAAACCTGCTTTTTGAGATATAATGCCAAAAGCGACCTACAGCCTCTGAATCTGATAATGCTTCACTCTGCCCCCGCCGGCTCTGGGTCCTGGGCGAGTCACGGCCTCCCCAGCCTGGCTTCTGCAGCCGGCCGGCCCATCTTCAAGGTTCCCGTTCTGGGCTACATTCAGCTCCTGAAAGGCCTCATTGATCGCCTCGGCACAGCCGCCAACTGCCGCCAGTGAACGCTCCACGTCCTAGGTAACCCGAGCCCGCGGCTCCCTCCCATTTGGGGAGAAAAAAAAAAAAAAAAGATGGGGGTGGTGGGATCGAAAAAGGAAAGGAGAAAAATACTGAGAAACATGTTTTGGCAGGCAAGGCCTTCGGAGACTACCATATGTGCTCCATATTGAGCAGCCCCTGGTCTTTGATGTTTTTTCTGAAAGTAAAGACATTACTCTTTCTCAAACTGTGCCTAAGTACTACGGACATTAAAACAATGAGGCCAGAACGAGCGGACCGGGCTCTAAGTGTTTAATTCGCCCTTCACCCAAGTGCTCGCCACCGGTTCGCTCCCCGGCGTGCACCCTGGCAGCTGGCACGGCTGCCACCCCGTCCCGGCCCCATCGCCCCCGTTCAGGCCCGCGTTTGTCGCGATCCTAGCACACCTTCGCGCCAAGTTCGGAAGTAAGGACTTTCCCAAACGCCCGGCGCAAACTCCCCAGATGTTTCCTGCGTCACGGAAACGAGCCCAGGTTGGATCTGAAGCATTCTTACGACGGCGGGTCACGGGGCCCGCCCGGCGCCCGCGAGCCCGGCTCCCCCATGAGCGGCGGGGTGAGCTCGGGGGCCTCCCGCACCCCCCAGCGTTCGCGCTCACAGCGGCTCGCTGGGGACAGGCCAACAAAGCGGGAAATTGGAGGGGTGAGCATTTTATTACTCGCAGAATTGTGAATCACAACTGAAGAGCCCTAGTAAATTTACACTCTGATCTTTCGGGAGTTTATTAGTCACTCACGCGCCCACTGTAAATTCCTCCTTCTCTGTGACTCCCTCTACCCACGGCCAGACACCACGACGACCTTAAACGAGGGGCCTCAACCCACTCGGGGTCCCTCCGGGGAACGGGGAAGCCCCGACGTGCCGCCAGCGAGAGACCCAGAGGCGGGAAATTCCCCAGCGCGGGGTAGGAAGGTGGCGCGAAGCCGGAACCCGCTCTCGCGCGACGCGAGCATTCGCCAAGTGGGGTACCTCAAAGGTGGGCGGGACGAGGAGGGCTCACGCGCGGGAAGAGCCGCGTCCGAGTTCCCGCTGCTTCCGGGTCTCAGCAAGCGCTTCCGGGGTGCGCGCCACGCGGCTGCTCTCTGCGCTTACGGAAAATTACCAAAGGCCAAGGGGCCGCTTAACGCCAAGGGAGAACAGCAACGACTGTGGCCGATGATAACGCCGGGGTGGGTGACACCAGGGCCCCCCTAAATAGTCGTAGTCAAGCCCCGGTGCTCGAGCACGTCCACATCTGCTCTCCGCCAACCAGAGAACGGGATTCCCTGTAGGGGCTCGGAATGTCCCAGGATTGCGTGAAGCGGGGGGGACCAGAGCGCCCGCCTCAGCATCGCGGTGCCACCCGTGGTCGCAGGGACTCGGACACGGCCCGCGGCGCCTCTAGGCAGAAAAATTAGCTGGGTGCACGAGGAATGGCCCTTCTGTGCTCTGGCTTCCAGGAGGGTCTCTGCTCCTGGTCATCTGGATTGAGTATGACTTAGTCGGGTGGGCTCAGCTGACCTCGACCCTCGAGGAGGAGGAGGAAAGGAACACTGCCAGGAAGAGGTCACAGTGATGCCGTGTCTGCAAATGGGACAGCTGGAGGGGGCTCCCTCCATGCCAAGATGAGGGTTAACCAGGAGGAATCGCTTGTGTTGGGGCGCTGGGTTGAGATGTGAGAGCAGATCCTCGAGGTGATCTTGTATGTGAGCCTGAAATTAATTGAAAAGGCACAGGATACACACGTGCGTGCGCTTTTACTTACACTTGCTCTCAAATAATTGCCGCCTTTCATTCGAAGCATCCGTTTTGTCAACCAGGATCTATTGTCTGAGCTCCTACTGTGTGCTCAGTATCTTTACCAGACCGTTTGGGAGATACAAGGCCACAGAAGACTAGGTTCTTGCTCGTGAACCTGGCTCAGGACTGGGAATTAGTGAAAGAGAAGGAGGTCGCCCATTAAAATTACTTCTTGTGCTGCACTTTTTTTTTCTGGAATGATTCAAAGGCACCCAGAGGAGAGTATAATAATGTATTCTTGGACTTCAGGCTCAGCTTCCTTTTTCTGACCTTTCTTAACCCGGCTTTCCCTCCTCAAGAGATTTGGAATTCTCCTTAAGGAGGGTGTGTGGAGAAACTGCCAGCCCAGGTAAGTATGGGAGCCACATGGTCTCCTGAATGGAAAAAAGGAAATCATCTCCAAATGCAACCAGGCAGGTGGGGGTAGATCGAATCTGAAAGGGGATGGGAAATCTGAACAACCCCCAAGGCAGCAGACTCCGTACCCAATGGTGAGGTGTGAGAAACAGTCAACATTTGGAGCAGTGGAGTCAGAAGAGTTTTGGTAGCTGTTAGATAACTTCCTGATCTACAATAAAGTTCATGTGACCGAGAGGATGTTTTCCGCAATTCCGTTGCCTGGCTACCTTCCTCTTTCTCCAAGTCTGCAAGTTTAAGAGATTTTTCTGGGTCCCAGTTGAATGGTGGTGCTGGCTGAATGCATGCCCTGGAAGGGGTCCTGGCAGATGACAACTGCTCAGGTTGGACAGGTGCAGTCCAAGTCTCACTGATTTGTTGCCTCCCCAGCTCTCACCTGCAAGGTGACGTAGAGGTCCCCGTTTTGGAATGGGGAACCCAGGTGCTCCCGCCCCCCTCCGTTTCCAGCCACCAATCTGTTTGTTGGACCCTACCCAGATAGTGCAAACTAAACTTTTTTTTTTTTTTTTTTCTATGTAAAGTCCCAAGCGCCTTACTCGGCCCCGAGGTCCCCAGGCCAGAACAGCCAAGTTTCTGCAAGGCCATCTTCCACAATTAGTGCCTGACCACTATGGAAATATACACAAGACGTTTACTTTCTTTAGTGAAAAAAAAAAAAAATGTAAAGGGAGCTCAGGAGCTCTTCAAGACTCCCTGGGAAGCATTGTTCATTGAGAGGGGCCCAGACACACCAACCTTGAACCTTCCTCTGCCTGGGCAAAGGCTGGGAGAAGGGGTGGTATAGCCCAGGCCTGAGAGGCTTTCCACAGCCCAAATTCCTAGGTTCATCCTAGCAAAGGATCCTGCATGGCCAGTGAAGGCGTCGCCGCCCCTCGGTCCCTGTGGCCAGCTAGTCCTCACATCCTTCCCACTCCCAGAACACTTAGTCAAGCACATGCGGATTGGCCCCCCAGGCAGGTGGGTAGCTGTGCTCCCCTGGCATCACAGGTCTGAATTTTTGTACGGCTTCTGGCCTGCTTTGAGGGACCATCCTTTGGGTCTGTCAAATATGGGCTTCCCGAAAGTGTAGCTGGAGGTTATTAGAACTAACTAAGGAGCAATAGCAAGAATATAAAACTCAAACCTTGCCACCAGAGTTGGAGAATGTAAATAGGGGCAAGATGGAGAATGCGCTGGTGAGATGCAGAGGGAAGGATTTGAAATTTGCAGAGTCGCCTAGTAGCTGGTGGGGGGAGGGGGAGGGAGTCGATCAGCCTAGCAAGCCATACCTCCCGTGGGAAAGGGAGCTCTAAGTTTTGTCACATTTCTGGAGTTTCTATAGAGAAAATGCGCGCCCCCCGCCCAGGACAAATAAACAAATGCACAATGATGAGGATGATCCGGGCTAGGAATAGCACTTTCAAACCCCTTATTGGGCAAATGTCCTGGTTTTCAAAGGCAGAAACAAACTGTGAGGCCAAGTTGCTAGCTTGAGGTCACAAAACCAGTAAGTCCAGAAGTCAGGACCCAACCCAGGTGTACCTGGCCAAGAAATGCACAAAGTACTTGCCTCTGACAGGGAGGTCAAGTGGGATCTTAGAGACCTAATTCTCCAGGAGTCCAGGATCTGTCCAAACTCCTGATGGATGTTGGGGGGTGGGGTTGGTCATCCTTAGCAAAGGAGAAACTTATCTTAAACCTACTGCTGGTGAGGAAGTAGGGGCAGTCTTCTTAAGTAGGCCAGGAGTGCCTCCCATTTTCTGCCAACCGTAAGCACTAATAGTCTAGTTGTCTCCTATAACTGCCTTCCAGCCCCATACAACTACAAACCCTGGAGCTCAGAGCCCACCTGCATGTACTTCTTCACCTGGCACAGAGTGGATACTGAAGAAGCAGCTATGGACTTGGTCAGTGGTGCAATCCCCTGGCTCATGGCTATCATGCTGAATCCAAGCTGTCCTGGTTTCCTCATTTGGATCCATTTCTTTTTGGTCTTGGCTTAAAAAATCAGTCTGGTCATTAATAACTGTAGTAAGAGCACTCTGGCTCAAGTCACCTGGGGTGGCCTGGAGCCCAGAGGCTCCCCTGCGGTACTGGGTGGCAGGCACTGGTGCCCCTCTGTATGGATGGGGGAGGGCCTCCACCTGACATACCCACACCTCCCAGGGCTTTTCTCACCTCACTCACTGCCGCCACCTCCAGCTGTCCCTACCCACCACCAGTGGGTAGAGCCCGGCCAGACACCAAACCCACTTGAATGTGCCCTTCCCAGGCAAAAACCCCCAGAGATTCTGAAGAAGGGAATTGGGTTCGAGAAACCAGTGGAGAAGCCCGGTGGAGACAAATAAGCTTTAGCTTCAGTTGTTGGAAATTCAGGCAGAATTCCAAACACCCTTCCAATTTTGTATACAAGTATTTTCCTTTTTCTTTCCCTCTCTTCCTACAGTTTCCTGGTTTTTTTTTTTTAATATCTCTCTTCAGTTTATTATTATTATTTATTTTTTTTTTTTAGAGTTTCCAGACTGCCAGTGTCTCTGAGAGGAGAGGAGATTCTATACCTGAGTCATGCCATTCTGGTCAGAGGAGGGAACACCAAGTTCAATTCAAATTGGCAACCTAATCCTAGTCCATGGTCAGTCTCTTCCAGTTGGTGTTCCTAAAGTCCAGTGTGGTGCCACTGGCCATAAGCCGCAGCAGAAACCATGGCAGAGTATGCTAGAGGAGAAATACATGAATGCAGTACAGCTTTCTTAACTTGATTTGTACTTGTCTGCCGTCTGCCTTGTTTGTCACCACTGAGCTAGAGAATCAATAGTTGTAAAATAAAACCAGGGGGAGGAGGCAGAGAGACTTAACTAGTTGGCACTTAGGAAAGGGCGCCTGGGTGGCTCAGTTGGTTAAGCGACTGCCTTCGGCTCAGGTCATGATCCTGGAGTCCCGGGATCGAGTCCCGCATCGGGCTCCCTGCTTAGCAGGGAGTCTGCTTCTCCCTCTGACCTGTCTCATGTGCTCTCTCTCTCTCAAATAAATAAATAAAATCTTTTAAAAAAAAAAGAAAGGAAATCACCATAGTCTCTCCCTCTCCCACCACAATGACTATAAAGTGAATTAATATACCCTGATAGTTCTTTTTTTTTTTTTTTAATCCTATTCAGTGACCACTCATTTAGCTGCCTCCAGGTTTGGAAGAGTGCTCCAGGGGCAATTAAGGTCCAGAGGTCTTAGATTAACTGAAATTCAGGAAATGTACCTGATACCCCAGAAATTACCTTCCATGCCCAAAGTGAACAGAGAGCTCAACAGGAATGAATATAGCTTTAGGGACTCTTTAAAACAATTTGTCCTGAATACCCACCTGGAATCTGTGTCCTATGCAGCAACTGACCAAAAGAGAAAAACGTGGTTATCTGGCTCCCTAATCCTCCTTGGTCAGGCCCAACATCAGGAGAGTAAAGAAGAAGGAAAATGGGGAAGTAAGTAGACATGGAGAGGATCTAGGCTAGGACTGTGTCTGTGTAAGAGAAGAAACAGAAAAGTTTCCCTAAGCAACTTCCAAACCACAGGCCTGTGCACTCTCCTTCCTTGCTTTCTGACTGCCTGTTCTGTCTCACCCCTCCTACCTTCTGCAAATGCCTCAAATCCAAAATCTAAGGCATTTTCTCAAGAGTGTGAGCAAGCAGTCACCAGAAGCCTCTCTGTAGATGAAAAGTCCGTGATACCAAGAAGCAAATACTGAACCAGTGCTGAGAGGTGGGTGTGCCAGTAAGAATGTTTGGGTGGTGGAGCCCCTAGGGTTTCACTGCCAAAAGTTGAACCATGGGTTTCCAGAGCCCACACTCAGTCCTCCCCCAGGTTAGGGGTAGGTGGTCTCTTTTGCTCCCTGGACAAACTCTGGTCCTGACAAGTGGAGAAAGGTCTGAGGTGTCACTTGGAAGTTAGGAACCAAGGTAATTCCTTTCTTGGTCTCCACGGGCTTCAAAGCCCCAGACTGAAGGGGAGTGCTTTGGGCTCAGTTTAGATGTTATTGGCAAGAACAGAAACTCAGGTCCAGTGAATCTGGGTTTAAGTCTTCTCAACCCTGGTGTGATGGGGCAAGAAAAGTGACTGCAAGGGACATATGTGTGACAGACTCTGGACTCCTCTGGTTGAGTAAGAGATTCCTGCTAACTTGGACTTTATCATGAACATTTTGGAGGAATAGGTATAGAGGTGCTACAGCTTAAAATGGTGTTCAAAGCTTCAATTCTTTAGAACTGGATTTTCCATCACTTAAATCACTCCCTGGGAATGTATATTAAAGGCTCATGGAAGACAGCTCTTCTCCCTCTTCAAGGTCAACAAGAGACCTAGCCCAGGCTGCAGGACCTCTCATCACGTCATCAACTCTCAGGACATTGCTAGAAGCAAGAGCCTGGTAGTAAGGAAGCCTGGAGTTTGTTTGGATACACAGATCTATGGCTCTGGCCAGGTCCTCCCCCTCTCTACACCTGTTTCCTTGAAGGCACACATCGTTTGGAAATACTCCTCTTACGGTTTGTGAAGATTAAACATTATACAGCCTATAAAATGCTTGACAGTTAATAGGCTCTCATTAAAAGTAGTGCTTTCTCCCACGTTCTGGAAGTAGGGGCGGGCAGATTTTATTACTTCTCTTTATTTAAAAAAACATTTTTTTTTTTTAATTAAGTAAGCTCTATACCCAAGGTGGGGCTTGAACTCACTACCCCAAGATCAGGAGTCAACATACTGTATGGACTGAGACAGCCAGTCGCCCCTACCCCTCTTTTCTTGGTGGAAGAACTGAGGGGAGAGGTCCTGGAAGAGTAGCAGAGGACCACCCTTAACCTCCCTGACGTCTCAGATTAAGCCCCATGGCCACAGGGCCTCAGTCCTGCTGTGTGTCAGACTCCTAGTCCCTTCCCCCCCTCTTCCCAGTGTCTTCCAGGAGCCCAGGCCCAAGCCTAGGTGAGCGCCAGGACTGCGGTGCCTAGTGCACCAAATGGAGCCCAGTCTGCTCTAACTGGACTCTGAAAATCTCTTGTAGTGGTTGTAGTTCCCAGCGCAAGAGACTAAGTTCATTTGACAGCCAAAGGGCAAGCAACTCTTGGTGCAAAGAGTGGTGGCTTCCCCAGGCCAGCCTTGCTGCTTTGTCCTCTCCCGAGTGTTCATTACACCGACTGGGAACAGGAGTCTAATTTAATTTCCCCCACCCCCACCCCACGCCCAGATTTATGGAGCAACCCGGGATTCTCAGAGCTGCTGCAAGGCTGCCGGATGGGGTGGGGGTGGGGGGAGCACTACGATTTACTGTCTCAGAATCCCTTAATGCCCAAATGCTACCCGTTGGGCCTGGCGCTCCAGAACCGAGGGCCGGGAGGTGGTGCTTTTTATGCGGGACAGGCCTTACTCCTTGCTTAAGGCCAACGGACAGGCCTTGTTCTTTAAAAAAACGGCCAATCTAGCCTCACACAATTACCAAAAGCCGGAACAGTCCCCAAATCTCCAGCCACCCCCCAAAACCGCCCCCACCACACCTGAGGGCCTCTAACCAGTGGCCACCCCCAGCACCACCTTACTAGGGTTTAGAAGTAGATC